GAGAGGAGAGGAGAGGAGAGGAGAGGAGAAGAGAAGAGAAGAGAAGAGAAGAGAAGAGAAGAGAAGAGAGAAACAAAATAGAAATCACACAAGTAAAATATAATATACGGTAGGACCCCCATATCAGTGACTTTAGTATCCATTGTTTCACTTGTCTGCGGTTTGCCACAGCCCTATATACAACATACAAGGGAGCCCTCTTGTGTCCTTTTTCCTGCCCCTTTATGGCTTTTGACCCACCCACCCCTTGTATACTGTATATAGGGTTTCCTTGTATCCACTCTCTACATTTGAAGTAACCAGTTCTTACCGTTCCATGGTCCTCTGCTGGTTCAAAGACCCCAGAGAAATCTCCTGTAAGGAAACAAAATGGGGACTGATTGACGTGAAAGGCATTGTTTATGCTCACCTTTATCGACAAATACCAAGTCAAACAAGCATTGACCCGTTAAGGACAGGGGGTGATCCTAATGATTAACCCATTTTTCAATTTCAATGGTGCAAGCTGGGCTTTCATTTGAACTTCACAAGAACTCCCTAAGGTGCTATCTCCTGTCCCCCAAAAAGGATATAGCTTCTTGTACACCACCTTTAAAGTTCAGACTGATTTCCCGAGCAATTCTACCACTATTGCAGCTGACAAGTTAGCATGGCGCCAAGTCATCCATCCTGTGTTTGTGTTTGAGAGGATGTTGCCCCTCATCTTGCATTTCTTTGTTTGTTGAACAAGTTGGTTTTCAAACTGCCGGCAACAAGAGGGAGTGTAGAAATGCAATGGTTAAAGTGCAGTAGTGCAGCCAAGACTCTGCTCACAACCTGAGTTCAATCCCAGGCTCAGATAGGTATAGTGGTGCCTTGCATTATGATTGCCCCGCATTACGACAAAACTGCATTACGACAATCTTTTTGCGATTGCAATTGCGATCACAAAATGATGGTCTGAATGTTTTTTTTTCCGCTTTGCGATGATCGGTTTCCTGCTTCGGGAACCGATTCTTCGCTAAACAATGATTTTCCTCCAGCTGATCGGCGGTTTCAAAATGGCCGCTGGGTAAATAAAATGGCTCCCTGCTGTTTTCTGGGACAGATTCCTCGCTGCACAGGCACCGAAAATGGCCGCCCTATGGTGAGCTTCCAGCCCATTGGAACGCATTGAAGGGGTTTCAATGCGTTTCAATGGGCTTTTTATTTTCGCATTACGACATTTCCGTTGTACAGCGATTTTGCTGGAACGAATTAATGTCGTAATGCAAGGCACCACTGTAGCCAGCTCAAGGTTGACTCAGCCTTCCATCCTTCTGAAGTTGGTAAAATGAGTACCCAGCTCACTCTCTCTGTGTGTGTGTGAGAGAGTGATGTGCATAATTAAATTGTGAACTGCCCAGAAAGTGCTTTAAATGTTATGGGGCGGTACATAAGTAGAACACTTCATATACATATATTGACAGAATGGCTGTTACAGATGCTCCACCTGCTGGACATACCGAGTGGTTGTTCCGGACAAATCCTGCTGACTCTGGAGGAAGATTGTCTAGGTTTTGGAGGTTAGCAAAAGGTTTGGCGGCACCCCAGGACTCCAGGTAGCGCGTCATCCGGACCAACGCTCTCATTTTGTAGCTCTCACCTGGCACAGGTGAAAGAGTATCACAGGAGCTTTCCTCTTTAGCCTAAAGACAACAGGAACCAGAAGTTCAAATCCTAGCCAGCCAGCCGCCAGCCAGACGTGTTAATTAATCCAGGACTGTATAGACTCCATAATGTTAAAATCATGCTAAATCTCATAGAGAGAGAGCTGCCTGATCCGAGGTCAAGCTGTTTCTCTGCTTACCACAGTGCTATTTGTGTTGGCGGATGTTTGCCAGGTTACAAGGAAGAGTGTTTTCCCCAAGTGACTCCGATTTCATGAGGGCGGTGAATCCATTCCAGGTTTTAGTCCAAACATTGTAGGAGCTACCAAAGGTGTCGAATTCTACCCTCCAAATAGATTCAGCACTTCTGAAAAGTTCAGAAATGAAAACCCGGACTGGACTCACAGTCCATCTTTGGTCATCGCCCTACATTCAGAGGTGGGGACACTTGTTTTTCTCTCCCGGATGATTTTACAATGCCCACAATCTGTCACTGATATTACCGGGAAGGGATCGCGGCGGTTTTTAGCCTGAACCACCCTGAGGACCTAAGAGTCCCCGACCTAACTTGATTTAACTAGAGATGCCAGGGACTAAATCTGAGATATTGTGTATCTTTAGGAATGGAACTTCTGGATTTTTAGGACCCAGACTTTCAGAATTTGTCAAGAAGTTTGGCAGACAGGGTCCTGAAACAGAGATCCTATTTTTCTGGGAGCTTCCAGTGGCCGGGTCCTCCTGTGAAAAACAAAGAAACTATTCCACTGCCTCCTAGAAGTTGCCAAGCTACTTAGAAATCACATCTCTTTTAGAAGTCACAACCCTTCATGGGAGTAGTAGTTCCTCAGGGAGCACCCTCCACAGAGCCTAATGGGCATCGATACTACCTCTCCCATGACATCTTGTGACCGGAGCACTTTCCATTGTTTTTCAAAGAACTGTGCCAAGTTATAAGATGTAAAGCTCTTTTGTTGACCTCTGTTTTGGGACCCTCCAGAATTCTGCCTGAGGGATTCTGGGAGTTCAGAGTTCTAAAGATCCGAAGTTCCTGTCGCTACATTCCACACCATGCAACTCTACAAACAGGACCTCAGCCTCAGTGCTGTGGCCCCTCCCACAAGAAGAAAGGGAGGAATTTGCCTTCGATCCACCTCCTCCCATTATTTGAGGATGCAGAGCAAATTGAAAAAA